ATACTTTTTACCCTCTTACATCTTTAATTCATTTTTCACTTTCTTCGCATCCAATATTCCCGTGATTTGGTTTCCTGCTTCCGTTTGTTGTTGTGCTGCAATCGTTTCTCTAATCCGCTCCGCTGCATTATGCTTAATTAAGTTTTGAAAACTGCGCCGAAACCCAAACTTCTTCTTCTTCTTCCAAATTCAAATAAACATTCTTTGCTAAATTCATCTGTCGTCAGAAGAAAAAACCAATTTCCATTGTAAAAAATGTTGCTGATTGCAGGTTTTCTAAAACATCGTCAATTACCGAGATTGGAAAACTTTCTTTTAAAATTATTCGATTTAATTGCTGACGATCAATAGTTAATCTACGTTCACTTGACTTTTTTTTGACTAGCACCTCTCTACATAACTTAGGTGATGATGACGGCCTAACAAATTCAACTTTCGGCCATTCTTCCACTTTATTTCCAACAAATACATTATTTTCATTAGATATAGTTTTCAAGATGACAGAACACTTTTTAATGTTTTTTCTCTATGTATACTCAAAAATGATTTTGAACAGATTTCTTGTACCTTGGTGGCACATTATTTATTTATTTTTTTTATGATTTGTTTGGAAATGGATTGGACCAGTTAAGTTGAAATTACATCCATAATCCAGTAACGTAATTGAAAGCCATTGATGATAATTTTGAGCATTGGTAGAGACTGATGTGACAAAGTGTTCAATATGAGAAGCTCTGTTCCGCTGTCAACCCATAAATCACAGTACTTGGTACTGTACAGTCAAAACTCCGGCTGGAAATGCCGACAAAAGAAAAAAGTATAGGCGATTCGTGATTGTAAAGGAAATTATGAATGCAAAATTAGAACGAAAAATCAGCTGACTTGATAAAGGCAGTCAGTTGCTTCAAATGCCTAAAGTTACCAGCGCGAAAAATTTCATATAAATTGTTATACAAGCTAAATATACTGAAAGTGTATTTAAGGATATCAAACCTCCTGCACTCAACAATAAGGTGCTCGGCAGACTCAGTAATATTGAATTCTTCACAAATATCAGTGGAGGAGACTTTGATCATTTTAAAATATACCTTGTCGTAGGTGTGATTACTCATAAGACGGTGAAGAACTTTAAATTCCCATGTTGTCAATTTTCCTTTAGATAGAAGCGTCAAAAACAGGTAAATTTTGTAGAAAAGCCAGTCACTATTTTCTCTAGCTAAAACATGATACTTATCTTTCCATTCTTTTACTAAAGTTTTTTGATTAACAGGGGAGCTTCGCTGGAGGGGTAGTTTATGGACAAATCAAACCGCGCTTCACGTGCATGGAAGTCAGCTTTTTCATTGATACTAAAGCCGCTGTGATCTGGGATCCAGATGAGGTGGCATTTTTCAATGGTTGGATCTTTTAAAAGATTGTAAATATCGAAGACGTACATATGGTATGGGTCTTTGCTCTTGATTAAAGTCAGAGCGAATTTGCTGTCAGAGAAAACTACAAATTTTTTCAGTTTAATTTCAAATGCAAGGAGGATTGCCTGTCTGACGGCCAGAAGTTCAATGAACGTAGATGATAGTTCTTGTAGAACTTTGAATTTTCCTGAAAGTAAATTTGGGTATTCTATAATTGAGAAACTAGGTGTGTCCGAATTGGCAGATCCATCCGTTGCGTATATTTTGAAGTTATATTCGACGAAGTGGTTTAGTTTTTGCAGACAAGCAATTCGAAGACAAGACCTTGACCGATTTTTTTTTGAATTGGTGACCGAATTAAGTAAGTTTAATTCCACTACGCACTTATCATGAATGATATTAATCCAAGAGGGTATTGAGTTAACTTTATTGAAGATGTTACTAAATTTTTTGAAGCAGTTAGAGTAACTACTGATGACGTAATTGTGTTTGGAAGCGACTTTGCCAAAGAAGGCAGGTTTAAAGATTTTTACCTTCAGCAGTTCTTTTGCAGTTACAAGAAAAATTGTCTCAGCTATGGGGAGTTCATATGAGATGGAACGTGGCACATTAACTTCGATAGCTGAATATACTGATAAATTGTTATTTTCATTTTGATAATTAAATGTTATTGGTTTTGCTTTTCTCTCAAAAAATTTTTGATTAATCTCATATCCTATAATTTTACATTATATTTTAATACTACAGCACCCTGCTGTTTTCGCACTGTAAATGTATTTGCTTTAACTTTTAATTTGCCAATAGTATTTGTGTAGATGTTTCCTAAACCATAAAGTACTTTTGCGTTTGACTGAACCACATTTAAAACAGTGTTTCTTTGTGTTCATTTTCTTTTCATGTTTTCGAAGCTTTTTTCTTCTATGTTATCAAATAATGTTTTGTATATTTCATGTTTTCCACGAAACTTTTCAAATGTGTTAGCTGCCATACAGCGGATGTTTATATTCACTTTTACTTTTCGATCCGTATAACCGTTTAACCTGCCCGCACGAGTAACCGCGTAAGCAAAAGCCAAGGAGACATCTCCTGAGTAGTTGTTCACATTAAAAAAAAAAATTCATATGGTGAAACGGTGACATAATAGCAATGTTTATCGTATTAGATCTATATTCGTGAAACAATTTTTTGTCTAATATTTTCCTTTGCGATAATTTTCTATGTATTTTCGCACTTTTAACACTTTTATCAAGCTGGTCCAGCCGAATGTTCGCATGCATATATTGGGGGCGGTTTGTGTAAGCAATTTGAATAAACTCATTTCTGGTTTATACCACTACGTTAAACTTCCTATAATTTATTAAATCAAATAATGTTAAGCATAAAGGTTTGCAAAGAGTTACAAAATGTAGTAAGGCCTTATTCTGACGTTGTTATTGTTCAATTATCATGAAATATATGTTTATATTTGCCTGCCATCGTTTCTGCCACTTTGTATTAAAAATAAATAAATTTCATATTCTAAAGCAAAAATAACAGCCAAAGTCCCCAATAACAATTTTATGCTAAAACTGGAATATTAGTTTATGATAATGATTGAAATGTCAAAAAAAGAGAAAATATACGGCTGTGCAAAGAAAAACAAAAAAAAAAAAAAATGGTAAAAATGGAACATTTGAAAGTGTGGAGATTAATAACAATTCTAAGATTGGTTTTAACGCTGTTAAGATACTTTTAGAATGTAAAAAAATTTGGTAAGCTTGCAAAATATTGGCAGAACTGAAATTATTTAATAAATTTATAGAAAAAATTCGAATTTTTCGCTAAAAATAAATCACGTTAATCAAATAAGTTACGCGTTTATTACAGAATATTTGCATTATAGTGAGTGTTTGGCGCGTCACTATTTTTGATCAACAACGAATAACGATATTACAAGTCTAAAAAGAAACTTTGAAAAAATTGAACAAGCTAAAAGAAGAGTGTATTAAAAATGGAAGAAAAAATAGTTACAATATTGTGATGTGACTTTGTTAAAGGTAAGCAAAGGTAGGAATATAAAAAAATTTTTATTTTATTAATTTATTTATTAAACAATTTCATTAGATTGCTGAAACATTTGAGGGATAAGAACAACGTGTTCCAGTTTCGGCATCCTCAAATCGTTGTTTAGACGTTTATTCAAGACACGACTTTTGGATTATAAACATAAAAATGTAACGTACATAGTTTATGCACGCTGCACTCTGCACAATAGGAAGGAGGTTTTAATGCTGAAATAGACTCAAAATCAACTTGTTATGTAGATGAAGGTATCAGCAGCAGTAATCCAACTGACATCCACAAGGCAGGAAAAAGAATTAGAACTAATTATAAAACATGGTATAATTTATATAAAATAAGATCTTTATTTTACGACGAAAACGTTCCAAAAACTTCGTTTAAAAAATTAAAAATATTTAAACGACTTCACTTAAAAAAATGTAAATAGTCCAAACTGTTTACTTTAAAAAACATAAAAACAAGTTTAAAATTATTATACAATTACACCTCAGCTTTCTATTGATTTAAAGACCGAAAATGACATTAACATTATTTTAAATTAGTTCATTCATGAACTAATGCTAAATGAAATAACTTTCAGATACGTAATTACCCCTAGGTGTTTGCCGAGGAGAATATGAAAAGGTAGCGGTGTCACACCAAGGACGATAAGTTTGCGAGTATTCGATAAGGAATGAAGTGAAATTTATGCCATGATTGAAGTTTGCAACAAACAAGACAAAGCAGAAAACTTAACTTCAAGAACAACCACTTGCTGCTGGATGAATAATCATATATTCCGTGATAAATACGTAGCCGGAAAAGTAGGAAAATGTTTTCCCCAGAAATTATTTGAGTTCGCTTCATCATTTTGCTTTTCATCTTTGCACATATATATGCGACGGTGAGAATGAGTGATTATAATTGTTTCTAGAAATTACAGACTATTTGATGGATAAGAAAATGTTTCATTCAGATGGAATGTTCTGAATATAACATATATATATACATTAACAGGAGAAAAATATCTAAGCCCATTGAACGCGCTTGTTGTTGATATTTCCCTATTCAGCACGCTTGCAGACTAATATGAAATTTCGTAGAAGGAATAAAGACATTTTAGCTTTATCTGTTGGAAGCTATTGATCGGCAGTCAAATTAGTACAAAAATGTTTATAGGGAATATATATCCGTATAAAGTTTTTAAACCCCAAAAGTGCACTTTATATATGGCTGTAATTCCGTTAAAAAAGACGCAGTAGGAAGAAACCTGGAAACGAATCGATTTGAATATAACTTGTAAAATAGTGTGGCTGTAAAAGATACTATAGATACTTGCAATAAAATTAAGTGAAGTAGAATAGAGCAAAGCACACAAACATATGGAGTTTCTATCAATTCTTTTCTGGTTTGTTTGCAAAACGTTTCATAAAGTTTGGTAGCAAATAATGTAAACAGATTCTTTCTGTTACCGTGGTCTTACAAACATAATTAAAATTTACTACGTCATTGAAAATATAAAAATTTTTTTTTAAAGAAGACGGGGCAATAGTAAAGAATAAAGTATATAAAAATAAGATTTAGAGCAGTTCCTGTGTGACATTTATTTGTTTGTGTTTGTGCAAATAACGCATGCTAAGGGAACAACCCATGCAAAACGGGCAATAAGAAACAGCTTCACAGCAAGCGAACAAAAACAAAACATTATTAAATTTTTAAAAATTAAGCAAAAAATGTTTCAGAAGTTAATGAAGGAGTTGGAATAGACTTTCTGTACGCATGCATACGCATGTTATATGGATGAGTAAATATATATTCTCTAATTGCACAAAGAAGGCGTTTAAAACCAAAAACATAAAAAGAGAAAAGGGATGACATGTCGTAATTCATGTTATCTTGTAGATACATTAACTTTGCTCAGGTGAATGTGTACAGACATATACTCATACACGTTTAAACTCAATTTAATTTTGTTATCATTTACTTAACCGCAACTACAATAAATAGAACGATGTGCTATAACAACGGTCAATGATAATAATAATTATGAGAATGGTTCACATTTTTATTTTTTAAGTCTTAAGAGTGTAATAACGGTAATTATTTGATTTGAGATTAGCGTAGCGTTGTGTAATGACTTATGAGTGCATGTAAATGTACACATATGCTCTATGCACTTCTTATGTATCTATTTCTCTTTGGCAAATAATTTTTCCCTTAGGTTTTCTATGTCTTGTGTAAAGAAAATGGGGATTTTTTAATATGTTTTTTTATAAAGCTTTTCATTTAACAGTGATTTGAAATGGCACAAATCTCTATCGGTAACGATAGTGGATCTAACTCACCATCCTATTTGCTCCGTTAGAAATTCGTATTGGACAAAACAATTATGGATTTTTTGAGGTGGTTGTTGTGATATAATACAACTGCTATTTTTATGGCCAACCTGATATTGTGATAGCAGAAAATGCGGCGTTTAAAGCGAAACGTTTGGACGCTAAAAGGGATATGGTGTACTGTTTTTAAAATAACTCAGCAGTGCCAAAAAAACAATTTTCAGGGCTGTTACTCCTAAAACATAATACTGGTGAATGCAAAAATATGATAATTTGTGTATGTGGCGTTATATGGTTTTACAAAAAAAAAAACAAATTGGCTTTTTTTGGACCACTTTCAATTATCGAATATAAGGACACTAGTTTCATTAGAAAACATCCATTTTATACCTCCATTGACAACGCCGAGACATTTCCAGAAAGACGATAATTTGTTTAGTCTAATAAACTATTTTGCTACAAGCGTTTATGGTTTGGAAATATGTGTGGTTTTTTAAGAAATTTCGTACAATATTACCTTCAGTCTGCCATGCTTTGTGAAAAGCTTCTGGTAAATAGAAAAGCAAAGCAAATTCATTTATCTCTAAAAAATTTTTACGTTGCATTATTACGTCATTGATAATCTTCGATAAGTCATAAAATCAATCTGATTTAAAATAAATGAGAGAGTTCAAAACGTAAATCATAACAGAAAACTAATAACCCTATCGCGTTGATATATTTGAATGTATTTATGGTTTTATTTGCGGTATTTATATGAAACGAAATTAAAGCCGATTTTGAGGAAGCATGATGTGGCCTGCGGCTTCATTTGAAATGCTCAGTAGCTCCTAATAAAGTGCTTAATTGCCTGGCGAATTTCTTCATCGGGTTTCTAGGTGATTTTAAAATACCATAAACTCTCGTATTAATTTGAAATCCAGTATAATTTACTTGTTACCACTTCGTCTATCGAATTCTTCGAAGTTATGGAGGATTTCCATTAATTTGATGATAAAAGCAAATTTTTACAAACCTTTTCGTAAAAAAGTTTTTACGAGTCAATGCTATCTTGCTTCTATGTGCTTACAGATGAAAACAATTATGTGAGCCAAGAATAAACAGTTACTTAATGACCTAAATCAAGATGTTTCAATCGTTCACATAAGAAAAGTTATTGTCACATAATAATTTTATTTACAATATGTGAAAACAGTTCTTAGTCAAAAAGTGAAAGATATCATCCGCTTAATTAATTGGCAGAAATATTCTACCATCATCTTTTGCAGGACTGATTGAAGAAATAATGTTAGAAGAAGTATATAATCACCTAAGCAACCTAGTCTTGAAATCATTTGCATGGAAAACTAAATGTGTGTTTTTGAACTGGAGAAAACTCCGTGTGTGAAGCCGGCGAATTCAAATGGTAACCTTATTAAGAAGAAAAAAAAACGATTTGTCGAAGGCGCAAATAAATCACAACAATAATTTGTTCGACTTCGAGCAAGAAGAAGGCAATAATAGAGGAGTATTATCTAAACAATTCGAATCAAGGTGAATAAGAAATTGATGAAAAGAATGTTCAGCGAATATAAAAATTATTTATTAATAATGCATCAGATTGGACAGATATTTTTGCACTAATTTGGGAAGTTACATAGTGAATCCATTGTATGAATCAAAACTTTTATTAACCGAATTTATATGATATTTTGGAGGACGTAGCCATTTGTTGGTATCGACGACGACGATATCATCAATCAAATTTTCTGACCGAAACTTTTGTTAACTAAATTTGAATATTCCCTTTTCCTTTTAAACGGGGTTGATATTGGTCACTGTGCAAAACCACATTTCAGAATTCATCAAAGTTTTTCATGCCTTTAATAATTTTAATTTCCTAAGCTGTTTTGAGACTTTTTATAGCATTTGCATTCTTCTCTTGCCGAAACTTAAAGGAAACATCAGATTGATGTGTTCCTATTATCTCATTAAGAGATAAATCGGCCGGTAAATATTTCAAAGAAAAGATGTTAATGTTTTTATACCCATCATCGAAGGGAGAGGGATTCATGTTGTCAAACGTTTGGAACGCCCAAAAGGAAGCTTCAAAGTTCCCACAAAGTATATTCTTGATTAGCATCAAATTCTGAGTTGATTTAGCATGTCCTTTTTTCCAGTTGTCCGAACTGTAATGCCTGTTGTAAATATTATCCCGGCCGCAAAAATAAAGCTGCCAAATTTTAGTTTTAATTTCGCGCAAATATCGAAAGTTCTCGGGCATTGACTGGTATTGAAAATGGTTGACGGACACGCCTGCAGTACGCAAAGTGAGAACACTTCCGTTTTTTAAAAGGAATAAAAACAGGGAATTTGGTCATTATTATACATTATTCTAGTATTATTATTATTCTATAGCAGACAAAACTACAATAATTTGAACGTATATTCTATAGGCGATGATGTAGTATCTGTTCAAAAATGGGAAAACTTGACGACGCTTTTATGGTTTATCGCAATTTAATTTTTTTTCAATAATTTTGTAAAGCGCAGAAACAAGCTTCAAAACCCCATAAAGTATATAAATTCTTGATCATTTTCAAGTTAGGTAAACATCCCCCTGTTAGCGAAAATGAAGATACCGCATACCAATTTCTAAAACAATTTGGAAGTGGTCTAACCTTTTAAAAGGGTCTATCTATAAGGCCCACCTGCTTATGCAACAAAAGCTTTTATATTGAGTACAGAAAAAATCAGCCTCGCCCACTTCATATTATAGAGCATGAAAACTTAGTTCTTTTACTTTGTTTGTTTTTTTTAGAATAAAGGTGCAAAGAATAACGGTATAAAAGATTCGGCGATGACCGAATAGTTTCTTTCAGAAAACCGTTTCCGAATGAAAATATGGTAGCGTAGCCTCACTGAGACAATCATTGCATGGCTACGAACTTAAGAGCCGTTAATATAAGAAAATATGTCTCTAATATATATCGAAACTTTAGACGAATCTCGGGACGTGGTTTTTCAAAATTGCCTATGGAAGAAATCGTACAATTGCCATTTTTCTCATCCGAACATTTTATAGTGTCTTAAAAGAGGCATTTTTTAGAGGATTCTATGTATTCGTCTAAAAAATTCAGTTTATTTTAAAACATATTTGATCAAAAATCGAAGGGTTTTATTCAAACATTCTCCAATGCCACAATAATCAATATTTTCAAAAAATCCTACGTCGACCGTTCATTGTACGAAAATGAAAAAGAAAGTATTTTGTTCGAATTATAGCCTATCGCTAGCTATACAACTTTCCCATCTACATGACTACAAATGTATCTTACGCCAAAAAAACTGTTGATCTTTTGAGAAGGAACATGACTTTCGAGCCATTGTGGTACAGTTTAATAAGAAGTGAGAAGCCGCAAATATGCGGTAATAGGAAGGACCCGAGTATGATAAGTAAGTCGCATGGGCTATCTCTACCCAATTGAATACTTGAGCATCGCGAACCCGTTTCGCTTTATGGATTGATAGGTAAAGGGATGTCTTGTAAAAAACTAACCTTGCCTTTTTTGATATTAGTTTGGGAAAAAGCAATCCATTATTTTGTCGGTAGATGACTGCACTGATAGATTTCTCGTAAAGTATCGATCAAACAATTTCATATTTATGCTCGTTGGAAAGGTGACATTTCGCAGTAAAAAAAATTCTTTTGCTGTTTTTTTTTTGGTGCATTTAGTTGTGAGTTACAGCGTGTTAAAAATGGAAGTGAACAAAGAGAAAATTCGGTACATTTTACAGTTTTTCTTTGACAAAGGCGAAAATGCAAGCCAGGCGGCTAAAATTGTGAATGGTGTTTATGGTTCCGATACTGTAACAGCCAATTATGTGCAATTTTGGTTTCGTAGATTCCGTTCAGGAATTTTTGATGTTAAAGATGCACCTCGCACAGGTTGGCCGGTCGTCGAAAATGTCGATAAAATCGGAGAAATGATCGAAGTTGACCGGCATGTTAGCAGACGTAACATCGCCCAGGAACTAAAAATCGACCATAAAACAGTTTTAAACCATTTACACAAAGCTGGATTCAAAAAGAAGCTCGATGTTCGGGTGCCACACCAATTAACAGAAAAAAACATGATGGATCGAATTTCCATCTGCGAAGCCTTGGCCAAACGGAATGAGATAGACCCATTTCTTAAACGGATGGTGACTGGAGATGAGAAATGGATCACATACGATAACCCTGTGCGAAAACGATCGTGGTCAAAGAGCGGTGAAGCACCTCAAACGGCCAGGAAGGTTTTGCTATGCATTTGGAGGGACTGGAAGGGGATTATTTATTATGAGTTGCTTCCATATGGCCAAACGCTAAATTCTGATCTCTACTGTCAACAACTGGACCGTTTGAAGATGGCGATTGACCAGAAACGGCCAGAATTGGCCAACAGGAGAGGTGTCGTGTTCCACCAGGACAGCGCTAGGCCACACACATCTACAGTGACTCGCCAGAAACTTCAGGAGCTTGGTTGGGAAGTTTTAATGCATCCGCCATACAGTCCGGACTTGGCACCAAGCGATTGTCATCTTTTTCTTGCATTGCAAAATTTCTTTAATGATAAAAAATTGGAATCTAGGGAGGATTGTGAAAATCGACTACTAGAGTTTTTTGCAAATAGAGACCAGGACTTCTATGAGAGAGGCATTTTGAAATGACCTTTAAAATGGCAACAAATCATACAACAAAACGGTGCATATTTGACTCAAATCGGACAATCCGAAGCATGTTAAATAAAGTCGTGAAGTTCATATAAAAATAATGGATTTCTTTTTCCCCAAACTAATATATCGCTTATTTTTTGTAGAGCAAAAGGTTCAAATCGAATAATTGCTGTTAGTTGCTTTTGATTGTAACTGTTCCACTAGAATTTCACAGCTAATAACGGACCACATCCTGCTGGCCCCACCCAGCTGAGAATATCGGCTTCCTGTCGAAGTTAAAGTCAAAGGTAGTATTACGACTGCTTACTGTTCCCAGATGTCCAAGATGTAGAAAAAAAAAACATCTGTATGTAAATTCTGATTTCATATTTACATACCTACATCACAAAGAGTTTGTAAACTTTTGTTTATAGTTTTCGTACCAACAATTCCAGGAAATGGCATCTGTATCTTCACTGCTATTTTAACTGTTTGTTATTGAACCATTGCTATGATTTCGCAACTGATCGTCTCAGTTTCATTCTACAGAGAAAGTAAACGGTTATGCATTGTTCTGGGGCTTTAAATTAAATGTTCCTATCAATACTAAGGTCGGCAACTTCTGGAAATCATATAATATTTGGCATAATGTTTTCCAATTTTCATGTTTTTATGTTTTTTTTTCAATTTCTTACCAATTTTCGATATAATCATGGACGCTTTATGTTTCTTTCCCGGCTTTATGTGTAAACATGAAGTGCGCTAAACTTCAGCTTTCTATTTTAGTTTCTTTAACCGTCCGACATCCAACTAAAGATGTATAAGCTATATACTATCTACTTTTCATGTTTCTTACTGATACGGATGGAATGATAAGATCCTCCTATCTACCAATGATAAACAAAACTACATTCCACTTGGGTAATCTTACATGTATGCTTCAGTCTTCATTAATATAAAATAAGAGCAAATTATCAATCGAGTAGCGCAGAAGAAAAGCCAAGGCAACAGTAATAAACAAAATTGTACGTGTATGGTAAAATTGAAACCTTGGGCACTTAAAACATTAAAGGATCGGTGGAGGAAATTCGAAATTTTGATTGTAGTATAGATATAAAATTTTTAACACGATATTATTTTAATGGAGCAAAGTTTTGAATATAATGCTAAACCATGTGGCTACTTTCCTTACAGAAATGGCCAATCTCATATTGATAGCGTGCTTAGCAATTTTGGCGATATTGATTACAATATCACTATTTTTGGCTGGAGGGTATTTATGGTGGCGTCACAAACGTTCACAATTACAGTTTATAGAACCTACTGAAGACGAAAACTCCAGCAGCTATAGTCTAAAGTACGTATGGGCAAGTTTTTTTCATAAATAAATATTAAATGAGTATATTTACGCTAGAGTACCGCAAGCTGGCGTTCAAGATATTTATGATGTCGTCACACAACCTTCAAAACCACCGCAACCGCAACAAACTCAGCTAACAACTACACCGGCTAATCCTTTACAAAATAACCTCAATCGCAAATTAAATGGATTTCTTAATCTGAAAACACCCCTTATCGGGTAAGTTAACATAAATAATATTCTAGATAATCGTTATCCGCAGTATTTTCTCATGGATAGGAAATTTGCAAATACGGAGAACGTTCCCAGAACGTCCCTTATTTATTCACAGGCGCATACTAATACATAATGCGTTAGAAAATCAGATTGAAGCCCTTGCTTCAAAAAAAAATCGTTTATAGTCCAGAAAGAGTGTTCAGTAACTGGTTCTTGATTCGTAGTCCATAATGTCAGGGTCATTTGGTCCCTTATACTAAAAAATTAATTATTTATTTAGCAGATCTATCGGAACCTCAGCTCTTTAATTTAAAAGTATTTTTCCTAGATGCAAATTATTGCTTACTACAGTGTATTTGACCCTTTTGAATTTTGAGACAAACAACCTATTGCCCCGCCTAACTTGTTCCTTGCATTTTTGTCGAATTAAAAATGAATTTCGGATAAGATTATATATATAACTGCGGATACACATTGAGCAAATGTTGTTCGTCGTAGTTTTACTATAATTTTGAACACATTTACCGCATACTACTCAGTACAATAAGAAGAAATTCTCAAACTATGGAGAAGCCTTCTAGAATTGTCATCTAAATTTAAAATATATTTTGACCCGAAATATACGTTATAAACTCTTCAAAATCTACTAATACACCCTCGGGAGATAACAAATCAATCACCCCCTACATTTTCGTTTCGAACCTAAATACTTATTATATTAAATTTAGGTTGCAAACATAACCCTAATGTATTAATAGTCTACTGTATGCACTTAAAATTTTTTTATTGAAAATTTAAGGAAATATTCCTTTTTTTGATGTTATAAGAAAAAACCAAGCAGACGATTATCTATGATTCTACAATAAATTTTCTAAGCCAGAAGAACTGTGTAAAAATAAATAAAAACACAATTCAGTCATACTTATATACAAATTTTGAGGTACTCGTGGCACAAAAGAATAAACTTGTTTTAAAACTATTAGAACAAAACAATTTTTGTCCTGTCAAATCTTTATTATTTAGCCCAAGTGAAGATATAAGCAAAGAGGAATTTAACGAGTGTTCTATAATCTTTTATTTAGCGGACTCTTCTATCTGAATGAGACCTGCATTTGACATTTCGGACACTTTAGTATATGCAATGACGAAATTTCATACACGTTTGTACTTACAAGGGTAATATAAAGTAATGTAAACAACATTCCTGTCTATCTTTTGCGTCGTCTTTTTATCAAGGACTGGAAGTCGAGCTTAGTATATGCCTACACATAAGAACTTGAGGCGGATCAGATCTTAATACGCAAGAAATTCAGCTTTTTCTAAACACCTCAGTTTTTATGTGTAGAAAACTTAACTATTTCAAAAACGGCGTAATGCGCTTAAATACTCCACGCTAGAATGTAAGAAAATTATTCCGCACTGTTATTCGCTAGAATTGCACACCCCTGTTAGATATAGCGAACGTTGTTGTCGCATGAAGCCGAACTATGGTGTTTTAATTGGAATGCATAAAGCTACTGATTGTGCTGATCCTAAGGTATGTGAGTTGTAACTAAAGCCATACTTCCGCGGAAAGTGTATACCAAAACCGTATTATTCGTCGAAAGCTAAAAATAGGTGAATTGAACAACAAAAACAAGGCAAAGATTAGTTTACTTCAAATCCATTTCTTATTGAGCAAAATAACTCGACGTTTCCAATCCTGGATCATAAAGCAAACTTTAGTTACTACTGCGATATATGATCAACACAAGCAAACATCCGCCTTTGTAGTTAATGGCAATCTTGATCTTTTTACAGAGAATGAAATCGCTCAGTTAACTTTTGATGTTGTTAAAAATATCAAAATGTTCACAACTAAAAAATGGCCATTTACTGTTATAACGCATTTAGCTATTAACGATGTATATTCAATAAATGGACACAACAATTTTTAGACTAGCGCATTGTCTGCGATAAATTTTCGATATATTTTCGGGTTTTAATTAAGAATAGTGTCGACGTTTCTTAGCTCTTCTAGTATTTGTTAAAGATGTCAGACAAAATTCATCATCTAAATTACACCTGTATAAGTCGTGATAGCTCAGGCACTCAAGGTGTTAATATGTAAGAAATTGCTTATTTCCATTCACATAAAGGTTTAAAAAGTTTTTTAAATAAGTCATATTTCGCATTATTCTTAAATTGCAGTGGGGACAGACGATAATGCACCGTACAATATAAGGTGTTAAATCTATTATAATTTTTAAAAAGACAGATGGTAAATTGAAGTATATATTATAATGCCCGATTTCCATTCTGGTTGGTATAGTAAATTCTGGAGTGTTGCAGGTTTTATCTGGCAAAGTTCATGGGTCTACGAAATAAGGCAAATCGGTTTTTAATAATAATTTGCTCCCCTTGATATGGTTTAAGTGTCCATGCTTTGAGTGTTGTGAAAGAACACTTACGTTCATCTAGCCATGAATTAAATTTTGAGCCGGTGCCAAAACTCTTCCTGTGCCCAGTCTATTTAATATCCCTTTTGCTCGATCAGAATTTTAACATAACGGAGAAGTTTTATTAAATTACTTAAATTTGTAGATAAACTTAGAGTAGTAGATTCTTTTGAATTTTTTTTCTTTTTGGCCCTAATAATCCACTTCCTTCTTTTCGTTGGCTTGACATGGAGTGCTTATACACACCATGTCGCGCAAAAACATGCCCGGAATCGGATAGATTCGTTTCTTGTTGGCTCTGCGAGCGCTTTGGTCATGTAAAGTGTGCCGGTATTCTCGGCCGTGCTGCTGACGCAGTCGCTGACCCTTCCAAAGGCTTAAGATGGTCATGTCCTCACTGTAGGCAGCGGGACATTGATTTTTACAAACTTTTCACCGAGACGGGAAATGGTTTCTCGGAATTGAGTAGAAATCTCGGCTTCTGGTGGGAGAAGTTTGAACCAATTAAGTCTAGGTTTGGTGAGTGTCGTTTTATTGAGCAGTCATCTTCTACCCAAGCCAGAAAAATAACTACGCGTAGCGTGTGGGACGTCACCTCTGAGTTCCTCTAAATCTGATTCGTTGGTACAAGTTACCGCTCCCTCTAAGTCTAAAATGAACGTTAATGTTTCCGATATTGTTGAGTCGTAACAAAGTAGTTACAAACAAGCCGGCAAGTCCTTCCGTTTTAAGTTACGCTGAAGTGACAAGGGTATCTCCGCCCAGGGCCGCCTACCACTCTAGCCAAGCGCCATCGCCTAAAAATAATAAAGAGAAAAATAAATCACCCACTCCCCCTGGCTGCTCGAATGTGAACGCTGATCACCAGACTGGGCAAGTCGCACAACCTGCTGGTGCAAGGACGATAACGCCATTTATATTCTTCCCAACTCTAAACTCCCCAACCGCGAACCCTCCTGTTTCAACTAATGATATTTGCTTGACGGCAGTTCCTCCCAGAAAAGCAATATTTGTATCAAGACTGGCACCTGAAACATCGGTGGATAACATAAAAAGTTATCTGGCGGCGAAAGTCCCACCAGTCAACTTAAAGCGCGTTAGCATTTTCAAAATGGCTTCTTCTCAGTCTAGGGCAATCTCCTCTTTTAAAATACTAGTTCCAACTGAAAACAGTGATATGTTGTTAAACAAATCACTGTGGCCAGTAGGATCCTTAATTAAGGAATTTATCCCTCGAGATCGTCCCCGTAATACCAAGGCAATAGTCTTGTCGCCTTCAAAAAACTAAATGTTTCTTCAAGCCCATTATCTCTCATTTATCAAAATGTTAGGGTCCTTTATTCAAAAATTCGTTCTACTATTCTAAATTCAGTTAGCACGGAGTTTTTCTGTTTGGCCTACACCGAAACTTGGCTAAAACCCGATCTTCATTCGTCGAAATTTTTTCACAATTCTTTCCAAGTGTTTAGAAATGATCGAGGGAATCGCATTGGTGTATTAATTGCCATATCTGCGTCAGTCCCGTCCAATTTAATTGAATTTCCTACTTCTCCTGACGTTGAATTTATCGCCATTCGTGCGATAATGCTTAATAAACAGCTATTTCTAACCTGCTCCTATAGTCCCCCAAATTCTGATATCTCCATTAACACGAAACACGCTGCCCTCATTTGTGAAGTGGCCAAGCGGTCTAGACTTAACGATTTGGTCGTTGCATTGGGTGACTTCAATTTGCCTCAAGTCAGTTGGTGTAGCACTGATAATTCTGGCTGTTTGATTCCCACTTCATCGTCTGATAAGGCTGTTGTGTTCTTTAATGAATAGCTTGATCACAATTTAGTTCAATATAATCGTACCCCTAATTGTAATGGTAAACTGCTTGATCTCTGCTTTGCCAACTTTCCTGATATTAACGTAAATCGTTGCCTAACTTTTAGTTTACCTGAGGATCCTTATCATCCATCAATGTGTATATCCTTTCCACATATGAATGATGGTTCGTTGAACTGCCTTAATGTGTCAAATCCAACTTTTTTATGTAAATGTGGCTCTGCGCTCGACCATTTCGCTTACTCGGTGGCGAGGCATAGATTTAACTCCCTCAACCACCATTATTACTGCAAATACCTTCAGTTCATTAAATCCTCTCTGTTTGCTAATCCTAAATTCTTCTTTAAATTTGTTAGCTCTAAAAGAAAAATTTCCACATATCCCTCTCATGTTTCTTTTAATGGCTCTGATTCCTCGGATGATTTTGCAATCTCAAATCTATTTGCTGAGTATTTCCGACGAAACTTTTCGATTGCTAATTTCGATTTATCAGCAAACTACCCATACCCTATAACTAACTCGATTTCAATACCTAACTTGGTTATTTCGGAAGATAATGTTTTCAAAGGGTTGAGTTCTCTAAAATACAGTTGTGCGCCAGGACTTGATGGAATTCCATCATGTGTACTTAAATCTTGCGCTGTCGAGCTGTGTGGTGTGATCTCAAAGATTTTTAACATGTTCTTGTATTCAGGTGTTTTCCCTTCATGTTGGAAGACTAGTTTCCTTATTCCTCTCCACAAGAGTGGAAGTAGACAATTTGTTGAGAACTACAGAGGCATTGCCAAGTTGAATGTCTTGCCCAAGTTGTTCGAGCGTATTGTGACTCAGCAATTGGCCTTTGCCATTAATTCGTACATTTCTCCGCATTAGCACGGCTTTCGGAAAGGGCGATCTAAAGTCACTAACTTGTTAGAGTTTACTTGTTAGGTATTCAAGGCTTTTTCTAGTGGCTCTCACACAGATGTGATATACACTGATTTAAGCAAAGCGTTTGATATGGTTAATCATAGACTACTTATCTTTAAACTCCAAGCCTCTGGCTGCCCTTTCTATTTATTGAAATGGATAAGCTCTTATCTGCACTACAGATCCTTCAAGGTTTCGTTCAACTTTATCACCTTGGATGAATTCCCCGTTATATCTGGCGTACCTCAAGGAAGTCACTTAGGTCCCATTTTATTTAATTTATACGTTAACGAGCTTCCATCGGTGGTTAATTCCAGCCAAATCTTAAATTATGCTGATGATGTGAAACTGTTTTCCTCCTTCGCTATTGAATCGCAATCACACCAACTTCAAGGTGACTTGGATAATTTTGTGATAATGTGAATCTTCTGAAACTAAATCTAAGCAAATGTGAGAAGCTTTCTTTCTCAAGAAGAAAGTCATTCATTACTCAGTATTTCATAGATTCGCATAAGTTGGAGGACGTCGATTCGATCACAGACTTAGGCGTTCTATTTGACCATAGGTTACGTTTCAACTTGCATATTTTTCCGTGTTCCAGATTTCACTTACAGCAAAAATATTAAATTTATTAATATCAAAAAGATTTCGAAATTCATTAAGCTTCGTAGAACGTTAAGAAATATAAACACGCAGTTCACATGTGTGATATTAAGATTAAAACCAACCTCAAGGAGGTGTGAAAGATTTTCTTGCCCACAAACGGCCGCAAGTTTCAAATTTATTAGGATGGAAATATCGGCTGACTAATTCATAATAATAGGGTGGGCAATATGTTAAAGAGGTTATTACAAGAATGTAGCCAAATCAGATTGACTTACACAAACGTATGTATGATATGTTTTATACATTTCAAACTTCATTGTAATATAATACTACCAGTACTGCACATGATAATCTTTAAATTAAAAATATGTATTAAGAATATCAAACAACATGTGTGTGAATCCGAGGAATCAGAGCCATTAAAAGAAACATGAGAGAGATATGTGAAAATTTTTCTTTTGGAGTTAACAAATTTAAAGAAGAATTTAGGATTAGCAAACAGAGAGGATTTAATGAACTGAAGGTATCTGCAGTAATAATGATGGTTGAGGGAGTTAAATCTATGCCTCGCCACCGAGTAAGCGACTTAGTCGAGCGCAGAGCCACTTTTCGATATTTTTTGAATAGCGAGTTTTTTCTATTCTTGCGATATTTAATTGTCTTATTAAACCACGGGGGACATTTGCTTCGAGGTCGACAATGCTTGATCGGAACAGATGCAGCAATAGCTAGATTTAATGTATTGTAGAACGATGGCAATAAGCTTTCAATACTACCGGTTGAGAAATCAAGGGTCAAATGTGAAAGACGATGTTTTAGTAATACAATATTGATTTTATGAAAATCATAATAATTATTTAAAAAAGTTTGATTTGGCACATAAAGGCATTTCAACAAACCATCATTAATATGATGAAAGGAAATGCATATTTATGGATGATAAGGAAACTAAAAGGTGGACAACGATTTACGTAAATCTCTGGAAAATTGGCAAAGCAGAGATCAAGCAGTTTACCATTACAATTAGGGGTACGATTATATTGACCCAAATTATGATCAAACAATTCACTAAAGAACACAACAGCCCTATCAGACGTTGAAGTAGGAACCAAACAGCTAGAATTATCAGTGTTACACTAAGTGGCTTGAGGCAAGTTGAAGTCACCCAATGCAACGACCAAATCGTTAAGTCTAGACAAGCTTGGCCATTTCACGAATGAGGGCAGCGTGTTTTTTGTAAATGGAGATATCAGAATTTGGGGGAATATAGGAGCAGGTTATAAATAGATGTTTATCAGGCATATTCGCACGAATAGCGATAAATTCAACGTCAGGAGAAGTGGGAAATTCACTTAAATTGGACGGGACTGACGCAGATATGGCTATTAATACATCACCACCAATGCGATTCACTCGATCTTTTCTGAAGACTTGGAAAGAATTGTGAAAAAATTTCGACGAATGAAGATCGGGTTTTAGCCAAGTTTCGGTGTAGGCCAAACAGAAAAACTCCGTGCTCACTGAATTTAGAAAAGTGGAACGAATTTTCGAATTTAAACCCCTAACATTTTGATAAATGAGAGATAGTGGGCCTGAAGAAACAATTAGTTTTTTGAAGGCGACAAGACTATTGCCTTGGTATTACGGGGACGATCTCGAGGGATATATTCCTTAATTAAGGATCCTACTGGCCACAGTGATTTGTTTACAACATTTCACTGTTTTCAGTTGGAACTAATATTTTAAAAGAGGAGATTGCCCTAGCTTGAGAAGGAGCCATTTTGAAGATGCTAACACGCTTTAAGTTGACTGATGGGACTTTCGTCGCCAGATAACCTTTTATGTTATCCACCGATGTCTCAGGTGCCAGTCTTGACACAAATATTGCTTTTCTGGGAGGAAAAGCTAAGAAAAAACGAGCAAAACAGAAAACTAAATTATGGTGCCCAAAATGTAACACGGGAATTGATGTAAGCAAATTAATATCATTAAAAGTAATAGATGGAATGAAACAGCTTTATTAATATTTTCGCGCAAAAGGCATGAAATTTTAAACCGAGCAAAACTTTCACGCGGCTTACGACCGAGGTTTCCAAATTGTAACTCGCCTCATGTGAATAGAGGAAGAAATCAATTTTTCGAATTTTTAGATGTTTATTGGAAATAAAACAAGAAACATATGCATTATTATATAGAGCATTTGAAATTCTTGTTGTTGTTCATATTCTATATTTAGGTTCTGTCCATCTTGGGCCGGAACTTGTGTTGCTCGAAGTTTTAAACTAAAATGCTCCTCCGTCTTTTTCTAGAAACGTTTTGCTGATAGTTTATATCCACTAAAAGGACTTGAAATTTTTCACCCAATGTTAGGCTATTCACACTAAATTTATAAAGTTGAAATTTTCGACTATGTTACAGGTCTTCGAGTCCTGCAGTGCCATCAAAAACATCTGGTAGCAATAGCACGGCGGACAATTCAAAAGATGCAACTGTAAGTTGAAATATCACAATGGAAAGAATCATATGAAATGATTCCCTTTAGAACTTGACTAAAGAATTTGTAGAAAGATACAAATATATATTTTTTTTTTGATCCTACGTTTCTCTTTTTCAATTTCAGAACAAAAATTTTTCTATGACTGATATGTATATTGACAATTGCGATACCAGTGAAAACGTTGGTCAAATACATTTCTCGCTCGAATACGATTTTCAAAATACATCACTCATCCTAAAAGTACTTCAAGGAAAAGAACTACCTGCTAAAGATTTAAGTGGCACCTCAGATCCATATGTGCGTGTCACATTGCTGCCAGACAAGAAGCATCGTTTGGAAACCAAGATTAAAAGACGTACTCTTAATCCCCGCTGGAATGAGACATTCTATTTTGAAGGGTTTCCTATACAGAAGTTACAATCGCGGGTGGGTTATACATATTTAATAATGTGTCGTACTTTTAGAATAATTTCCCGATCGTCGTAGGTTTTACATTTACATGTTTTTGATTACGATCGATTTTCACGGGACGATTCGATTGGTGAGGTTTTTTTGCCACTTTGCCAGGTAAGAAAATTTTTCGATAAATATATTGAAACCTAAAACTCTGCAGGTAATTGCAGTCGAAAACATTTGTTGTACAGAGTTCTCTTTTAGAAAACTATCTTCTAGTCTCGTAAAGTAGCACTGTAAAGGTACGTTATATTTCATAAAAGGGGTTGCATAAAATTGTACTTTTATAATAAAAGCACATCAACCGATTGTATTATAAGAAAATGAGGAAAAGGTTTAATCAATAAGAAGCAGATCTCTAACATAACTATCTGTACACGTATATTTGTAAATATATACATACATATATACCTTTGTTTATACTACACTTTGTCAGGAGGAATGGATTGAACAAGATACCTTATTAAAAAGTGTTAGGGGACTGGCACAGTGAGACATCATTTTCGTGTTAAAAACTCGAAAGCGGTAGGCACAATAGGCAGCCGCGCTACCATATTGTTTTACAAAACTACAAAGCAAAAGCATATGGTTTTAGAACAAAAATAAAGGATTTAACGTATACATAAACAACATATTTATAAATAATAACAAAAATGAAGAATTTATGATGATCTACTCCATCAATTTTCTCTCGTTATCACCTTTGCTACTGTTATCAACTATAAACCTCAAAGAAACTCATACTGGATATATTGGTCTTATCGTTAACAGGCTTAATCCATTGTTCTTTAATCTAAAAATTAATTAGTAAACAAATAAATAAATAAGGAAGCTAATATAAAAGTAAACAAGCTTGTTTATTGATGACTGAAGAAGAAGATTGATTACATAAAAAATTTAAAAGAATGGAAAGATATTGAGTAAGACCGCTTTTTGAACCACGTACTGTTGTTGCAGTGCTAGCGATATCGTGTGAGCACTTATCTCTGTGGCCATGGTAAATTTCAAGGAACTGTAAGGATGAATCCGGGCAGTTTTGATTTGTTATATGAATTTCTCGAAGATCAACTTCATAAAAATTCAATTCGGCCATTCATTGACTTTTTCTTATACTCGTATAAGTAATTCTATATGAAGAACATCATTTGAATGAGTTGTGATTTCTTAGATATTTAGCCCGTGCTGATAGTGTGGCGAATCTTCCATTTTCATTTAAAATGAATGTTTCGACTGTGCGCAAGTTCATTTTCGAAACATGCGAATCCATATGGGAAAATTTAACAGTTGCGTTCATAGCCCTGCCTAACGAGCGTTGATGGAAAAAATATAGTTTGGGATTTGAATAATATGTGTGGCTTACCGCATTGCATCGGTACAATTGATAGCAAGCAGATTATTCCTGCTTGTCCCCTAAATCTATTTCTCTCTTTTATAATCTGTAACGCTTGATGTCTGTGAGTCTTCAAAGGCCTTTCAAAGTATTGACTACTGACTTAATTATTATTATTATTTTTTTTTTTTTGGGCACTTTAAAGCGTCACTTAAAGAGGATCGGCGACTATCGAGACGGACGCTAGTATCTTTGCTGAGCTAGTTAGTTCGGGAGATATAAGAGGGTTTTTAATTTTTTTGTCTCACGGACATTCCACAGGCAATATATAAGAAATACACAATTTTATATCGCACACTAGGTAGGGTCTCCTTTAGCTCATGATTTATAATAGGGGACCCTGAAGGTGCACCCGATGACCCTTCTGCTCTACCTTCCTTTCATAATAAAACTGCACATTTTATACTTTTGTTCTTAATAACGTAAATTTCTTCGTCATATTCTCCCACCAGCATCCGAAAGGTGCCTCGTGAAGATCGTTACTGCTTTATGTTTCAATGCCTCATTTAGTACCATTTTCCGGACCTTCGCTTTTCGTAAATTATTTTTACCCTTTATTTTCCAGTTCTTAGTATAACAGAGTTTGATAGGTTCTATGGCCAATTGCTGACTATGCGTTACATATATATATGTATGTTTATATAATTGGTAAATATTTTTTTTATATATGCACATGTTCCACAGTTCAATTTTTTGCATCATTGTGTTATGTTCTCAATCATTAAATGTGTTAAAGAAATCAAGGAAATTATTATGTGTTCATGTTTTTCATTGCTCCTTCTTACAGGTTGACATTTTTACCATTTCTATAATTTTTTTACACAGTTTTGGTTTTTCGTAATCCCTTATAATATTTTTCACATTTTTTAATTGTATGGTATTTTTAACGTTTGTAAATTTTCAATTACCAACAAGTTTCCTTTTTTTTTTTTATTATCAAAATTTTTCAACTGTTTTTAAATTTTATGATTTTCTTACTCCTTAATTTTTCTAAATTTTTAATTAATTTCTTAATGGCTAATTTTGTTAGTCAAGCGCTTATAATCTGTTGCCAAAATTTCAACTAGCCTTGTAGTGTTCTATGGATGAACGAATTACGCCTAGTGTTGGTGTGGTAATATTAAAAATCCAGAAAAATTAATATCGATTACAAGACCATTTGCCATCTTGTCTTTCTCGCTTTTTTTTCTTTTACTTTACTCTATCGCTTCACCTTTTTACTAAAAGATGTCCGACCACGTTTTTGTTTCGTGAACTCAAGAACGTCACTCTGCTTCTCTTCCTCTTCCTCCCAAAACAGAACCAAAAACTTCTTAACCTTTTTTTCTTACGAGGGAGTTTAGCAGCCCCATCTATTCAGAGTTCTATCTGTAACAAAGATTGAAAGATGCAACCAAATGTTACAAATTATAAAGGTAAGTATTTATGTTAAAAAATGAGTAAACAAGTTTTACAAAATTTGTTCTATAGGTCACTTCGCTATGACATCATTAGGAATCTATATTTCAAATTATGCTTTCACAGCTGTAGACATCGGAGCTTATGGTTCCCAAACAGACGGGGGCTACCATTTTGCCATTGATGCTTCTTGCCTTTCTTTATATTTGAATTAATTTTCTTTATGACCTAAAATTTTCTACTTTCACAAATTATTTTATTGACGTTCTTAATATTGAATTTTATTCATTACCCTGAATTCGAGAAATTATTACGTTAATTTTCAGAATTTGCTTGAATTTTATGACACCATCGAAAGTCTATTTTTGTATTGAATTAAAGATTACCATTTAGTAAAACAAAACCGTTACCGTCTAGTAAAACAATTTGACAAACTCATTTCAACTTTAAAATAAATGGTCTTTATTGCTTCACTTCCATTTCTTACAATAGTAATGTGTGACATAAACCAATATGGCAAATCACTTTATGTAAAAAAAAAATGTGCATTAGTGTAAAATGTTTTTTTCTTTGATTTTAAGTTGAAACTTGGCGGAGGTCTGTTACGTCATAGGCCATAATCCAGCAATGCAATTTAAATTTTTTAATTTCAGAGTTTTAAGAATTATGTTATGAATCTCTAAGTACTTAAGACCCCGCGTAGCAGTTTTTGGCACTACTCCCGTGTAAGACATATCTATTGTTTTAGAAAGTGTGTCGGTATTGTACATGCCTTTCATTTCTTTTACCTGCTCCGTATATTTGGCAACCTTACCGGAGCATGCTGGTTGTGTATTTTGTGCGAGCAGGATTATAACGTCTAAAATGTCGATGACCTTGTTCTGCCAATTTGGTACAACTATGCTTGTTGGCGTTGACTGGACAGTCAGTTATGATCTGTCTGCTCCAATGTTTTCTCATTCTGTATTACAGGCACTGGCTGATACTTGTAATATGGGACTTGTGGTATTTGCATACTATGTTTCTTACCCGACGCTTGATGTACTATTTTACATACCTGGTTGTGCCGATCCAGGTATGTCGTGCTAAGAAGTGTTGTGCACCCGGCAATAATATGATCTTATCTCTCTATACTGCTCCTGCAGTTCCGGCAAAAGTCTGTTTTTACTTTTGCTTCATTATATGGCGTCGGTAATAAATTGTAAATATTACACTATCTTACATAACTATAGTAAATCCTTCCGTCTTAAAAAACAGCTCCCCTCTGTTTAACTGTTGTACTCTGCAAGTCTATGGCATCTTTCTCCACCTCATTCGCATGGTTTCCGTGCAATTGTTTTCCGATTACATACCTATTACTTAAATTACATATTACTTAAATTTAGTGGCGTGTAATTTCTGTCTAATTTCGTCAACATTTCTGTGATAAGGCATTCTCTTTGTGATCTACAATATGTTCTTAAATTTGTGACCTGAACATCATGTAAGCTCGGTAGGTACGCTAGCCCACGACCGTCAAG